ATTAGATAGCTTATTCCTTCAGCTACAAAACTATTTAAAATTATTTAGAATTTATGAGAGTAGTTGGCGGTAGCATTATAAATTGTATGGTGTGTCAAAAGCACTGATTTTCACCCACTTGAACTCAATCTTGCCATGTTGATTTAAAGTTGCCCAGTGTATAAATTAATAAAGAACTTATACTTGCGTAGAGCGACAATAAACACAGGTAAGTGAGATTAAATCTTGTTAGTTAATTTTTATGCTCAATTGCACCATTCTAATTAAAAAAGTATAAAACTATGGGGTTTTTGTGAATGCGAACTTTCTCCCTAGATTCTGACTTGAATCTGGATTCTGAAATCAAGCTCACTTGTAATTGTAAAATGTGTAAATAAAGTATAATTTCAACTCATCAATGCTTACGAGACGTAGTGATATGATAAATAGTGTATTCTTTTTGCTGACCTTTTTTGTTTGCTATCTATTTCCGTGCGGTGGCCTTAGAATATGCCAAAAAAATATCATCTCCTGCATTGATAAAAACAAATATATTCAATAAAAGAACAAGTATTTAAATGATTTTTAAAAATTTGTAATATTTTAACTTAAGCATTGTTGCTATGCAACTATTGATCACTTGATCAAATAAAATGAAAAAAAACTGTAAAATAATTGACTTAGCAGGGTAGGAAGAGTTTGCAAACGAAAAATCTGAAACTGTAGTAAAGTTAAAGTTTGATGGTTCTAAGATTTTTTTTTTTTTTTTTACTTAGTAAGATTGGTAAAACTATTCACAATGCAGTCAACATTTTTTTCTTCAACTGGATGGAATAAATATGCAAGCTGATTATTACGAACAACAGTCTCTGCTTCCAAAATAAAAGTATTGCTTGCTGTTGTTTATCAATTTGTACATAAAGTATTAGTCACAGTTGCTAGCTAAAGTTTAAATAATTTTATTTTTTAGTAGTATTAGCAAAAACAAGATAGTACAATACTAACCAAAGAACAATTGTTTTCAGTTGTATTAACTATTCAGTTGTATTAATATATCCTCAGCTATGTGTAAATAGTTTGGATAATATGTATTCGGAAAACTAAGTAGCAGAAAAATTACCGAAAACCAGCAAGTTTTCTTTCAGAGACTTTTTTATATGCAATTATTTTGAGGTCAAAGTTGTTTTAATGTTGATAAGACTGGTTTGCTGCTTTAAAAAAACGTCTTCTTGATGGTGCAGCGAATCAGTTAAATGACATATAAGCAATTAAGAATGGCGCGCGAGATTGAGTAATGGGCGAAATTATGTAAAGCTACCTTATAATAAATTACAAAAGTTAAAATTTGACGTCAGAGTTAGAACGGCTTCTTTGACGCAAGAATGCAATTAATAGAGTACAAAATTTAGTTTTAATATATTGTCCGTTATCTTCACCATAAAGTTTATTTCACCATAAAGTGGAGAGCATTGATGTTTTTGAATCTCTAATGCCTCACGAACTTTCCTATTAAATTTATTATATTCTTCTTTAAGTGTCTTAACTTTATCCCGATTAATTTCTTCTCTAAAGTCTTTTTTATTAAGAACTATAGCCGACTGATAATACTCATCTTCCATTAAATATTTTGATGTTATTGAGACCTTGACAAAGTGTACATTGGTGAAAATTTTTTTTCACCAATGAACACTTTAGAGCAATTACATTCAATTAAAAAAATTCCAGATTTACTGTTGTCCGGTAGCCTTGGTTGTTTTTTGATGTTAGTAGAGTCCTTAAATTATGATTAAATTTAAAAACAGTGCGGTAACAAGCTTTCCGAAATATTTTTCTAAGTTTTGGGGCTAATTATGGAATCCAAGGTAAAGAGATTGTAGAAAGTGCATTTGGATTTGCTGGTATTTGAATTTTGTTTGCATTAGGGATTTCATTTATGCTAGTAGATCGTTTTATTTTACATTGGTTAGCAATGATTTGAAGCTGGCTTTTGTTAAAACCATTTTCGCTATATATATATTAATTAGAAAAAAAATAATCTCCTCTTGAAGATATGCGTTGCTACATATGCTATAAGCTCTATAAATATAACCTTTGAATAATGACTTTGAAGTTTCCGGATCATGACTTAAATGAGGTTTAATCTAAATATTGGTTATAGCATCTTTCCTATACACTTTCGAATCGCATTTACCATTAGCATTGTTAATTATGGTGTCATCAAGAAAATTTAATGTTTTTAATATATCTTCAACTTCTATTATATGTTTTAAAGATGGATGTTGCTTGTTAAGTATATTTTGGAATTATTTTGCTAGTTGTAAATTAGAAAATTTAATATGACTGTCTTTTACATATTAAAGAAAAGATTTAATATGAATAAAAGGATTTATAGTCTTTGCTATTTAAATGCTGTAAAAACGACTCAGCTAAACCAACTATAAAAGATAATACAATAAGACATGAGTTCTCTAATTCTTGATTTCCTTGTTTCACATAAAGTAACAGCGAAATAACCAAAGTTCTATTAGTTGTTTGATTTCTGCTATATCAAGTTTGGTTGATTTTCATAGGAAATGTTTTTATTTAACTGATCTAAAAGAATAACTGTTGCTTCTTTTAATGGAATTTATGGATATAAATTTACAATATCAAAAGATGGTTGCAACTCGTCCTTATCGATAATCCAGGCCTTAGTTTTGTTGATAAAATCATTAGAATTTTTTGATCTTATTGGATTTTCATTCAAAACTGTTGTATTTTTTAACCAATTACTTTGAAATTCCATACATAGGTGTGTCGATTGCTGATACTACAACTCTTATTGGATCTAATTTATCGGGTTTACGAGCCTTGATAATACCATATATTTGTGGTGGTACGGGATCAGTAGGGTATATGCTATCATAATCTGCTTTCGAAAATCGTTGTTTTTTATTAAGTAGCGATAGAAACGACCTTATTTTAGCATTATAACTAGGAGAAGGATCTATTTTAATAATTTTACTTTTCCCAATATGCTTATTAATTATTAGTTATGCCAATATGTTTGCAAACTTTTTCTATAGCTCTGTGTGTTCTATTCTTACGAAACCGGTACCTTTATCAAACGGATATATATCAATGTAAGTATTTTCTTAAATTTCTTTAAATGCCTTTCTTTGATCTGTTGTTAGATTAAGATTCACTTTTTTATTTAATTTTAGCTCTCATTAAACATTTTTTCTTAAATCCTGTGCAAATTAATATATATATATATATATATATATATATATATATATATATATATATATATATATATATATATATATATATATATATATATATATATATATATATATACATAACATTAAAAAAAAAAAAAAAAAAAATCATAATACATTAAAAAAAAAAAAAAAATTATCACAAGAATATTTAAAATATTTTGGCATAAGAACTACAATGTTTACGTGTATCTTGCATAATACCCCAAGGTTCTCGATTAGACTTTTTCAGTCTTCTAAGTGTTCCCTATAACAATAAAATCTGTCTTAACAAGTCTTTCATAATATATTCAACAAATGTTTTCTATTTTAAAATAACTTTTATTATTTTTATTTTTTAATCTTTTCTATTTTTTAACTGAGTTTTAATTTTTCTTTTTTTTTTTTGTTTTTGAACAAAAAAAAAATACATGTTACAAAAAATTGTAACATGTATAAATTGTAAATAAATATAAACATTAAAAACTTTGAAAACTTGTATTTGTTAACTTAATGTAAATTTAATAAATATCTAAATAAAACGTATGCTTTAAAAACAAATCCATGTAACTTATATAAACTACCTAAAAAGTAAATAAACTGAATTTTCTATGAAATTTAATATAAACTATAAAATTAGGATGTAAAATAAATAGTTTTTGTCAACTAAAACAATTTTCATAAAAAAATAAACAAAAATAAAATGCATTACAAACAAAACTAAATTTATTAATAAAATATATTGGCTTATATTAAAACTTTTTTCTAAAATTTTAAGTTAATAGTTTTGTTATTATTCTTAATGATTAAAATTTCTTCCTCTGTGATACAAAACAAAAACCTTTGTGAATCAAATGCTCTTCTATAAGGTCGCATTTTTTTTTTTTTTTTTAATTTTTACATTTGTTAGACCTATACTAAGTATAAAAAAATGAATAAATTATAATTAAAGTATTATACTTTAATCATAACTTATTCATTTTTTTTTATTCTTTTTATAATAACAGAAGGAACAAAGTAATTCATACTTTGTTCCTTTTGAACATCTGCTTGTTTTATTTGTTTGTATTTCCTCAATTACATATATTTTTTTCCGCCTGCATTTAATTTTTTTTTGTATTTTGTATTTAAAATAATAAAAGCAACAGCAACGACAAAAAAAGTACGTCAAAACGCTTCGTCTTAAAATGCAATAATAGACCTTAAGATGCAATTATTAATAACTTGTCGAAACTAGTTCAATATTAAAACATAATAAAAGATTAAACATTAACACTTTTGTAAAAACCTATTCCATCTTCAATTCGCTGTAAATGCTCCATTAAAATAGGATGAAAATTGACTAAGTAGTTGGATAAGACCAAGAAAGTTCCCGTTTTTTTTTAACGTATTTTTTTTGTTGTTGCTGTTGCTGTTATTATTTTAAATACAAAATACAAAAAAATATCAAATGCAGGCGGAAAAAAATATAAGTAATTGGAAGAATTTTATAATTTTTTTATATTTACATCAGTTATTATATTTCTTTTTATAATAGGACTTTTATAATTTTTCAAAACAATAATATTTAAACAAAAAAATGCTTTTTGCCAAAGTAAGTTCAACTAGAAAAACAAGAAAGAATTTTACCATGCGGTTATTATTAATTAATTTATGACATGTACAAACTTTAATATTATATCTATTACTTTTCAATAATAAATTTTTAATGAAGTATTTGAAAATATCAAAAATTAAAACTGTCTTTTCAAAAATCTTAAGTAAAGTAAATGAAGGAAAAAAACTTGAAGTAAAGTATATGAATCGAAGAACCTTGAAAGAAAGTAAATGAAGTAAAAGAAACTTGAATAACACTAAAAAAAGGGAAAGAAACTTGAAGAAAAAAGTTTAAAGTAGTTGTAATGATGATTAAAAAAAAAAATTATTTGATGAAACGAAGTTTAGCTTTGGTTTTCTTATTTCTGAGCCAGATAGAAGCAAGAGTACAAGACCGAGTTTTTTATTGGCCATTCAAACCTTTTATATTTATTAATGATGATAATAAAACAGACGGTATCTTACCAGTTTTGTACAAACAATTAGCTGATCTCTGTTATCCAAACAAAAACTTAGCTGATTTTATTTTGGTTAATGAAACGTTCAGTCAATATAGTTTTTACAAAAGTATAGAAAAAGCATCTCTTGATATGCAGAGTTCACCAAATATAAGTAATACAGTATGGTTCCCTTTATTTATTGTGCCTAATATGGCTCACTTGTCTACTTATAATGTAAAGTCAGACTTGTTTATGTATTCTCCAAATATTGCTATTATAACTAACAAAGAAAAAATAACAGTTATAAACAAAATTTTTGAATCCATCAAAAAATGTTATTCAATTGCCTTGTATTCTTTTGTTTTAACGTTTATCTTTGCATTACTGGTGTGGTTTGCTGTAAGTGTTCTTTTTATATTAAATATTATTTGTATATGTTTATAAAAAGTTATAAAAATTTTCTACTGATTGACTAAAAAGTAATGATTGGTTTTTTTAATACTTCTTAAAAAGTTATAATAGCTCCATGAATCTATTCCTTGGTTTCAGTATATTAAGGGAGTTAATGACCATTCATAGCATTGCGTATTTTATAAGTTTCTGTTGACTAAACATGCAGTCCAAAAATTATGTGCAATTGGTTATGTCATCAAACAAAAAAAAATTCTAAATATCTAATTACACGCCCCAAAATTGCTAGCTTTTGTGTGACATGATCGTCGTTTAGGGTTTTAATCAGGATATCCGAATGTCTGATTATCCGGATAATCCGTTTTAATTTGACTAATCAAAAACCCAGATAATTTTCATTAAATATCCGCTAATAGGGTTATCTTTTAATAAATTATAATATTATTTTCAAACGTCAAGAAACTTAAACATGGAGATAAAAAAATGGAGATAAAAATATTTTATTTTGCTGTTTATATAAATTACAATTTCCTTTCACCAAAAATAAAATATAATTAATGTACAAATGTACAAGTAATAAACAGTCAGGGGCTCAAAGAAGATATGGATGGCAAAATACCGACCTAATCTTTTCTTAGAGCCCCTACAGATCATAACAATAATATATGGTAATATATGGTTAATAAATCATATTATTCAATATATGGTTAATAAATCATATTATTTGATATAAATCATATTATTTAATATATGGTAATATATGGTTAATAAATCATATAATTACCATATATTACCATAAATAATATATGGTAATATATGGTAAAAAAGATATAGAAGAATTGAAGCATAGTTTAAATTTTCATGAAGAACTAATAGATGAAAAAGTTAAGAAAGCAAATGTTTTCAGTAAAGAAGACAATTCAGAAATTACACGCATACAAAAAAAGTTATGGGAGATAGAAGATCGATCGAGACGTAATAATTTAGGAGTGTATGGAATTAATGAAAATGAAGGTGAAAGCTGGAAGGAAAGCGAACTTAAGGTAAAAAAGGTTTTTGAAGAGTTACTATCTGTTAAAAATGTCCAAATTGAACGGGCCCACAGAACAGGAAAAAAAGAATCAAATAAGCCGAGAACAATAGTGATAAAACTTTTGGATTTTAAAGATAAAGTTGCAATTTTGAGCAAGTCAAGCAATCTGAAAGGGAAAAACATCTATATAAACAAGGATTTCTGTTCTGAAACAACGCAAATTCGAAAAGGTTTGTGGGAAAAAATGAAAATCGAACGAGCAGCTGGTAAGTTTGCATTCATATCTTATGATAAACTGATAATTCGCGATTGGGTTGCAAAAAAAAGCAAAAATTCATCTTCATAATATTTTTTGTTAATTAACGGAATTTTATTTTTACTATTACTTATTTTAAATTTAACTGTTTTTAAAATGGAGGAAAATTCCATAATTAAATTTTCGGATGAAAATGACATTCTCGGTGATTATGACACCGACTCAAATTTTCTTAATCACAAAATGTTAGAAAGTAAATATTACTCCGTTTCTGAATGTTCGCAACATCTTAAAAAAAATAAAAGCACTTTTTCAATTTTAAATACCAATGTTCGAAGTTTGAATAAAAACATTGAAAATTTGAAAATATTATTAAATGAACTTAAACACGATTTTAAAATTATATGTCTGACGGAAACTTGGTGTAAAAGTGGTGAAACAAATTATGAATTTGATCTAGTTAATTACGCATCAATTCACCAACCACGTGAATTTAATGCAGGTGGGGGCGTTAGTATTTTTATCCATGATTCACTTAATTATATTTTACGCAACGACCTCTGTGTTAATGAAACAGATTGTGAATCATTATGCATTGAAATAGTAAATAAAACTAAAAAAAACATAATTATGATTAATATTTATAGACCACCATCTGGCAACACGAAAAAATTTAAAACTCATCTTAAAACATTTCTAAACAAAATTAAAAATTCCAGGAAACATATATATTTGGTCGGGGATTTTAACATCAACCTAATCAACTATGCTTCTAATAATAATGCTAAGAAATTTTATAAATACTCTTTTAGAAAATAACTTTATTCCAACAATAAACAAATCAACAAGAGTTACAAAAAAGTCTTCTACTCTACTTGATAACATCATAACTAACAGATTTTATAATAGTCCTCTTTTCACAGGTATAATTCTGACTGATTTATCGGATCATTTTCCAACATTCTTAGCAACCAATAACATTTTAATTAACAATATTGCCACAAAATCCACAATATTTCGGCGACAGATCAATGAAAACTCCTTAAAGCATTTTAAATGCTGTTTAAAAAATAATGTTGATTGGAATTTAATTTTGCAATCAAGTGATGCTAACAATGCTTATAACTTGTTTCTTGGTCAATTTTGCAAGCAATATGAAATAGCGTTTCCAGAAAAAAAAATAATTATAAATACCAAATCACTTCAAAATCCCTGGATGTCAATAGGCTCACTAAAATCTTCAAAAAAGAAAGAAAAATTATATATAAAGTATCTTAAAATAAAATCTTATAAAAATGAAATAACTTATAAAAATTACAAAAATATATTCGAAAAAATAAAAAGATACTCAAAAAGGCTTTATTATGCTCAGTTATTAAAAAAACACAACGGAAACACTAAAAAAGTATGGAATGTAATTAAGGATTTAATTGGAAAAAATAATTACAAAAAAAACACTCTGCCAAAAAATATTTTAATTAATGGAAAATTAGTTTATGATAAATCTATTATAGCTGAAGAACTAAACAACTACTTTGTCAATATTTGTACGAAATTGGCTGCTAAAATTCCATCTAACTCCACTCCTTTTGATTCATACTTAAAAACTTATGACAAACTTATGGATGAAACTAGTTTAAAACTTGGCGAACTGAGTGCTGCATTTAGCAGTCTCAAAAGTAAAAAAAGTGAAGGTTTTGATAAAATTAGTATTGATATTGTCAAATCAGTATTTGATATTATTGAACTTTCTTTATTTCATGTTTTTGATCTTTCATTTAAAACAGGTATTGTTCCTGACAAACTAAAAATTGCCCGTATAACACCAATTTTTAAATCTGGAGATAAGTCAAATATCTTAAACTACAGGCCTATATCCATACTACCTTGCTTTTTAAAATTGCTAGAGAGAATAATGTATAATAGGTTATACAATTATCTAACTGAGAACGACATGTTGTATTGCAAGAAATTTTGTTTTAAAAAAAAAAATTCCACAGAACATGCAATAGTTGAACTTTCTAATCAAATATCTAACGCCTTTAATAATGACTGTTTTACTTTAGGAGTTTTCATTGATCTGTCAAAAGCTTTTGATACCGTAAATCACAATATTCTAATAAAAAAACCTGAAAACTATGGAGTGAAAAATAAAACTTACTTTGGTTCAAAGGGTATCAAAGGGTATACAGTATAATAAAAAATAAAAAATATATACTATATGCAAATGTTATCAATGAAATAATAAAATAAATAAAGTTTGAAATACATGAAATAATAAATTAAATAAAATTTGAATTTTTTAAATGGTTTATCGAGGCTCAGGAATATGCTTACATATGTTTTTTTTTTTTTCAAGTCTGAGCCTCCATATCGTTTTTAAGCATAGCGTTTATAAGCATATCGTCGGCTCGGGATGCAATTGTCGTATCGCAAATTTATTAAAGTTATATATAAATATGTAACTATCTAATATATGTAAATTTTACATCATATATTAATGAAAGTTTTTTTTAAAACGTTATATTAAATAATTTATATTAAATAATTTTTACATTTACATAACTTTGAACTTACATAAATTACGTTATTACATATTTATATAAAATTTTAATAAATTTGCGATACGACAATTGCATCCCGAGCTGACGATATGCTTATAAACACTATGCTTATAAGAAGAAAAAAAACATGTATATTAAATATACATGTTTGTTTTTTATAAGCATAGCGTTTATAAGCATATCGTCGGCTCAAAAAATATGATGTCATTAGCATAAATTTTTTTTAATTATTTAGAAGATGGGTTATATATATAAAATATTATTTTATATATATAACCCATCCTCTAAATAATTTTAAAAAAATTCATCCTAATGACATCAAATTTTTTGAAATATTTTGTAAAAATTATTGTGATAAATTACAAGATAAAATATATATTTCTTTTAACTGTTTGATTGACTTAATGATTTATTTATACAAAAATATAAAGTCGTTTGTTTAATACAAAGATCGCAAAAAGGAGCCGTCCAGTTACGTAGACCTGGGAGATCTGAAAATAAAAAAAGATTGTAGATGATGTCAATTAAGTAAAAAAACACAAATTAATGTAAAGACTATTTAGTAAGAAGAGTAAAGGTTAGAGACTCAGGAAGAGAGAAACTATAACTCACACTCTAGTCATCTTTAACAAATGATAAAACAATGATGTATGAGTAAACAAGTCAATATAAATCCGCTAGTTTCTTAATGTTATCCATTACTAAAATAATTGTATCATACAAAAACAATAAAAAAAAATAGATAACAAATTACTAAGAAAAATGATAATAAATGATAGTTGGAGCAAATGATAGTTGGAGCAAATGATAGTTGGAGCAAATGTCTAATAAATGTGGTAAAATATATCCTCTAAACTCTAGATAATAAATTGAAAACTGATAATCACCTGTGTAACATAAAAATATATAAATATCGTTAATGTAACAAATTCATAATAAAAAGCTAACAAAGCGCAAAAACACATGGGTTTAAAAGGTAAAAAATGTTGGTGCCAGAATAACTAATTAGAATTAAGTAGTGAATGAATAGTGTTCCTCCTTCTCAGGAATGCACTGCGATCGCTAATGACGTTTTGGAGAGCCCTAGACTTGCACTAACGCCACTCGTGAGGAGCGTGTTTTTGCAACAGATCTCACCGCCTGCAGTCAAGTCACTAAATTATCAAATTAACGATATCATTTGAAAAATTTAAATTGCCAATTATCAATTGAGTATTGTGGATATTGAAGAGTTCTCATAAATCGAAATAATAAAAAAAAGACCGTAACCAAAGACGTTTCACTGCAAGTTGTAGAAATGGATGGAGTTTCAGTTTCACGTCAAACACATTAAACCTCAATACGAAATTCAGCAATAATGCTTTATCCATGACGTGGTTGTTGATGTGTGCAGCAATTTTGAAGAGATCGCGTAGAACAATAAAGAATAAACTTAAAGAAGTTTTCGAAGCAAGTGAAGTTCACATAAATAATCTTTAAGAAACAGACGTGTTTTTGCAACAAAATCCTCGTGAACAATGCATGTCTAAATAATATCTTGATTACTGATTGTATTACTCTTAAGGGTCAGAGTGGAGTGTAATTTTTTATTACGTAATTATTACGCGTTATTACGTAATTATTAAGTAAAATTTTATTTTTTTATTTTTCTATGATATCAAGTAGTTTATAATTTAAAGAGGTTTTAATCGAAAAGTATCTTTAATACATTTTTTGGTTCAAAGTAAAAAATTTTTTATGTTTATAGGCTTTTAAATATAGTTTGTAAATTCGCTATAAATTTGTAAACCAATTCTATGAATTTGTTAAAGACATTTCTGATAGAGTTAAGAAAACATCCAAATTTAGTGTTTTGTTCATGCGAGAAAATTACAGTTTTGATTACCGTAAACGTAATATATTATTTTATTGTTCATTTTATTAACTAATTAAAATAATTCAAAGATATATCATTTCCTTTATTTGTAGGAATACAGAAAAAATAAAGATTTTAACAATTTTTTTGTGAAAGGATTTGGTACCGGTCTTTGGTGGGCAAGTGTTACTGTTTCGACAGTTGGGTAAGATAATTGTTCTTTTTTGTAGATTTTTAATGTAGTAAGTTAATTAAATATTTACTTTACTAAATCTGTTATTTGTATGAGTTAATTAAACATGAAGTTAGAAGAGATTTCCAAAGCACTGATTTATAAGAAAATTAACCAGGTGATTAAAGGTTTTCAGACCATGAACGTCATGACTCACAGTAAAAAAATGTGATTGAAAAAACTAGACGTGTTAAACATTAGAAGCCCCAAGTTTTTTATATACCTTGAAAATGAATCAATTGATCCAACTTAATTTTATATGCATTTAGACTTAATTTTTAGTTTAAATGTATGAAACTAACAGTTAAATCTGTTAATTTTGATGTGAGTTACATAAAAAATATAAATTCCTTTTACCTTACATTTATATACATAGGTTTTGTGCCCAAGTTACGGCACATTTTACTTTAAGAATAAGATAGATGCTTTATATAGACTATGTGGCGTTCTCGAATTGAAGACATTATGAAAAACATTAGATTCGATATACGTTCAAAACGTAGAGAGCTCCTCTAAAGTGATAAATTTGCTCTTATGTCATGTGTGCTGACAATATTGTTAAAAATGTTGTTCCCAACTAAAGCTTTGTGTCTCTTTACACAGTATATGCCCAATAAACCAGACAAGTTCGGAATCAAATTCTGGTTTTTAGCTGATCTAAAGACCAAATATTGTCTCAATATCAAACCGTATCTAGGTAAAGATTAAAACCGTGTAGAAAATTTGGGTACTTATGTGATCATGTCACTAATAGAACCTTATTTAGGTCGCAGGTATAGTGTTACTACAGATAACTTTTTTACAAGTGTCGATATTGCAACAAAACTTTTACGAAAGTTAAACATAATAGAAAAGAAATTCCAGTATTTGATCCACTTCCACTTTGCAATACAACTTTCTACAAAGAAAGACCATTGAATTTGATTGTCTAACAGGCAAAGAAAAAGAAAACTGTTTTTTTATTACCAACAATTCATAAAAGGGCGACAAAGTAAAGTGATGGGAAGAAAAAACTAGATGGAATACTTTATTACAATGCAAATTAATGTGGAATTGATATGTTAGATTCAATATGTCGACAAGTGTCAACATAATCTGGGTGCAGACGCTAGCCGTTAGCTGATTTCTTAAATATTTTGGACTTGACCGGTGTAAATGCTTAGATTTTTTTTTTTAAAGTTATTACAAAAAATTTGAATACAAAAGTTGCTTTACACTTTACCTGAACAGTTAAGAGAAGCAAATATTACTCCCTAGTAATATTTGCTTCAGTGAGGAGGGGGGGTATTGCGAGGGACAGCTTGCCCCGGGCGGCAGATATCCAAGGGCCGCCAAATAAAAAGAAGGTATCTGAATTAAAAAAAAAAAGTCGTTTATATATAATATAGAGAAATATGTATTAATAAGGGCGCCAATCAGGATTACTATCCCAGACGGTGTGATGGCTCTCGGCGATCCTGATCAACATGTGCAAATTGTATGAAACCTGTTTGTGGAAAGTGCTTGTCAAATATATGCAAACATTGCAAATAAACTTAATTATTTGACTAAGATTGTTATGTATATGCACATTCTCTATAAGGTGGATCAATTGATCCACCTAAGGGTTTTTAGGTATAAGTATTTATAGCCGCATCTCTGAATGTGTTTTTTATAAAGTTTTCAGTAAACAATAACACTTTTCAGTAAACAATAACAAAATAATAAAAGTCATAAAATATCATTTTATAAACATTAAAATTTTAGTTTCAGCAAAGTGTCAAAGTCGTGTTTGGATCAATTGATCAACCTTAGGGCTTCTAGTGTCAAATGAGTTCAGATATAAAAATCTCGAAGAAGTATGTGAGTTGAGTTTTGCAATTGAAATTTGCGAGTGCTTCTTAAATTACTTAGAACACTGTGCATTCGGACGATGCACAGTGTTCCGTTTTATACAACCTAGGTGGAAAAAAATCATTTTAAGAAATCGACTAATTTATAATATTTTCACAATTGCAGTCCCGAAATAGTAATAATTTGCAGTTTTAATTCTAAAAAACATTCCAGAAAACATTCCATTAGTAAAAAGCAATTAAAAAAAAATTAAAATGTAATTTAAGTTTTAAAATTTAGTCACAAATTTGCAGCGTTTGTGAAATTATTTAACAAAATTTTAAGAAAAAAATCATTTTATTGTGATGAAGTTTATTTTAGTGAGTAATTACATTAAATATTTTATTCAAAAGAGAATTAATTTGTATTAGAATATGGTTTGAAAAACTAGGTCAAAATTGTAAAATCTTTTTTTTTTTCAGTTTTTCAACTTTTGCAACTTTTTGTATCCACATGTATTCAAGCTAATTTTTAACAGTGTATATTTTCTAGAAATTTAATTATTTTCATATCACGTGCGCTCTTTTTGAAAAAAATAGAGTTGTTTGAAGTATGGCAGAAACATAATGAATAAGAAAGAAATAATCGTTTATTAGATTTTATTTTACAAAGATTTTGTGTTACTGGTGTAACTAATGTAACTAAAGATTAAGAGAGGTATTTGCAGTTAAAAGTTTTATGTTTGACATCAAAATTCGCAATAATATGGTCTGTACCACATATAATGATAAACCATTTTTTAAACAAAAACAAAAGTTGATTAGAGAGAGCAGATGTAGAAATAAGTATACATCAGCGATGTTCCTTTTCTTCATCTGGAGGATTTCAATGACGGCCTAAAAGAAAAACCTAAAAAAGGAATAATCGTCCTTTAAAACCAAAAAACGGAGTTGACCACCGCTGCTGAAGTAGCATGTAGTATGTTTGGGCACAGAAACTAAGCTACCTTATTCAAAAAAATTAAGAATCATCATAAAAAATAAAATCAAAAGGCTTTATTTGTGATGGCAGGCAATTGAATCGTGACGAGGCATTGCTTATTACACTGACTCTAAATGTACCAGTCATTTTTATAAACAAACGTAAAAGAGGTCTTTAAAGGCAAGGCATACAGTATTTCCACCTTTTTGTAATCTAAGTAAGTCAAAAAAGTTATGTTATCTGTTAGATGAACATATTTATTAACCTACAAATCATACTTGATAAAACTACTGAGCGCCTAATATAAGCTCAGTGTAAAGTTCTTAAAAGTTATACTTTTACTACGTCATTCACATTAATTAGCAAATGAGGATATGCTATGAGCTCTGGTTACAGCACTTGTAAACAGATAATTCCAAACTCTGATGCTACTGATGAATTTCTTTTTATATTTTAATTTGTTCTGTTGAGACTGAGTAAAGACCAAAATATTATTTGACAAATTCCACGACGCTTATCCATACTTTTTTTCCGACCAATTAAATTTATTTTTTCAATAGAAACAAATGTATTTACTAAAAGAGAACTAACCAAGTTTTATTATCTCAATTTATTCCAAAATTTATAAGATTCGGCAAATCTCAAAATGCTGTTAAACATGACCTTATACTCTCAATGGTAGATAGGAAAGTTTGCAATGCCTTGACTGACACAAGTTCCCAACAAAAATTTTATGTATGTGGTGCGACTCCAAAAATGATGACGGTGAACTAAAAGTCTTAGTTGTTAAAAAATAACATTATGGTCTTAGTCTGTCTACTTTGAATGCATAGATTTGCTTTTTTGAGTGCACGTTACACATTAGCTATCATTTAGATATAAAAATGTAGCAAGCTAGAAGCAATAAAGATGAATCTTTAAAACGTTCAGAAGGTATGAAACAAAAATTTAAAAACTAAATAGGTCTTACTGCAGACAAACCTAAAACCTTAAAAATACTTTTCTCAAGCTATTATATTAATTATTTTGAATTTGAAAAACTTTGTACTGAAACCAAAACTATTTATCTTAATCTATACCCTTGGTAATATATGCCTGTTACTGCGCACAAAATACTTCTACATAGCACCGAAGTTATAAAAACATGTCTTCTTCTAATCGGGCAGCAATTGGAAAAGTCTCAAGAAGCCAGCATTAAAGATTTCCGTCGATTCCGCGAGCATCATACAAAATAAGCTCACGTATTTCCACAAATATAGATTTGCTCAATATGCTTTTGATAACATTAGACCCTTTCATCAACTCATACAGAGAAGTGTCAAGTAAGAAAACGAGTAAATTACAGTTAGAAGTCTTGAATTTAATGTCTCACCTGTTATACCACCACAGCTGGTTGAAAATGCAATTCTGTGTGTCGATGAAGATTATTTAGGCTCCGGTTCTTCGGATAGTAAAAATAACAATTATTCATCCAATGATAGTTGGCAAGAAAACATTTTTTTTGTTTTACGTTATTAGCTTATTTATAGAATCTTTTTTTTTTTGGCAAAATTTTATAACATAATTTATATGTTGAAATAAAGTGTTTGTTTTATAACCTAATTAACATTTTTCATTACTAAAATTTAATAATTCTTAAAGTTATAAAAAATACTTACATATAAAACTTAAAAATAATCAAAACATTACTAATCAAAATATTATTAATTACATTCCTTGGAATCAAATTGCGGAACAAAATATTTTTGTCTATCTAGTTTATATTAAGCGATTCACTATGCAATGTTTACAGTGCAACAAAAATTTTCGCAAATAATGAGCAGAGACATGGAAAATCTGTGCGCAAATATTGCCAGCGTAGTTAAATGATTGATTTATCACAAAGAAAATGGGAGCATTGTGTGTTCCTATTTTATTAATGCAGTGCGTACACAATATATTTTATTGCATGCGATGCAACGCGTAAAACACATAGTAATAAAAATTTTAACTGTAGAAGAAGTTAGGTCTAAACGAGTCAAAGATGATGCCAATTGTGGTATTTTGTACTTTTTTTTTTTGGTTTATATTTTGCTTAAATCTGTATTGTTGTATAAGATCTTCTCTTGCTCTTCCTTAAGTATAGCAAACTTAAGCAGCTGTCTCACAAATAGTTTATATAGTGATTTCATGATGTTGCT